GGGGGGGAGGGCGGGAGCCGGTCCGGGGCGCTGCAATTAACGCGAACGTAATGAAGGAGCAGGCACCCCAGGCGGGAGGGCGGCGTGCGTGGGGAGGGGGCCCAGGCTCCCGCAGAGTTTGTGGACGCGAGGGTACCGTCTGCCTGCACAAACACGAGTACACAGGGGGGCTTTTTCCTTCCCGTCCACTCTTTTTTTGTGAAAGTACAGCTGGGGAGAGGCTGCCCGGGACAAGACCAAGGGGCCTCAGCTATTTACAGCTTGAGGATTCCGTACCCGGTGTGTCTGTGCGCAGAGCCCCGGGTCGCTTGTTCCAGCGGGCAGCCAGGGCAGTTAGTGGGGAAGCACTGGAAACCCGAGGGGGGGGTTATGGTGCGATAGCAGCATTTACTGGGAATGGAACCATCAACCTGTGCGCCGGGCAGTTCATGCCATGGCGTTACCCTGCCTCTCGCCTTCCCCTTTCCTTCCGCTCGCTGGTACGCGCCTTTGTGGAGTACGGTCTCCAGATGGACTGTCAACTCTTTTAAGCAGTGACTTTTACTTTTTTTAAACTCAGTGGGTGTTACACCTACCGCAATGGAGCCCTGCTCCTGATGAGTCCAGGTAGATGTATACTGCCACATAAATAATAATAATAGTAATCTCGGATAACAAATGTAGGCTGCTGCTGCCCAAACCTAACTTGGGAAGCGAGGGAGGGCAGGATGGAAGGGTTTATCTGGGTCACTGAATCCAGCCTGAGGTAATTTCAGAAACCATGTACATACACACGAAGTTTATGCTGACATTAGGATTCCTTCCTTAGGCAAAGGAGGAAGAAGAGGGGCAGAGGAGAAAAGAGGTCAGCGTTGGTTTTTTTGATAGATTGTTCATCTGATGTTTTCAGACGAGCAATATCCAGCACCAGATATCCTGCATCTGTTCTGGAAACTAATATTAAGCACTTCTTTTAGCTCTTTATGTTTGAAATCCATGTGTGAACGGCAGGTAACTAGCCAAAAAAGTTGCATGGGAAACACTCTGAGTGATTTAGTCCGCTTGTACGTGTGCATGTGCACCTCTTAATAACAGGGAAACTGAGGCATGACATCGCAATGACTCACAGAGCTACTGAAATAGTGGCGGAACCAGCATTAAACTCCTAGCTCAGTCCTAACAGGTGTTTAGGAATGGCCCAAGCTCTGGGAGGAAGGTGTGGGAAAAGAGGTTGTGCAGCCACATCCACCTTGGGTACCATGAGAGCACTTGCTAAACTCACTGGTGCAAATGGAGGTGCTCAAATGCCACCCCTGTGCCTGCCTTCTCATTGCTCCCCACTAAGGAAAACGCCGATACCTGAGCAGTTGCATTTTGGGTGCCCAGTGAAGATCAAACTCTCTATCATCTTTTGTACTTCCTGAGGAGCAGCACTAACCTGCTCTTAACCAGGCAGCTATTTGCCTAAATTTCCCTCTTGCCAAGGGTGTGATTTGTAGATTCGCTTAAGCTGATCTAAAGCCAGGCCTCTCCCCAGAAAGATGTTTTTTTTCTCATCCCACCCCAGCTTGGACCTTCAGCTGTGCAACCCCACCCCTAATGGTTCCATCCACACACAGGTCAGGAAGCTGACTGTGGTTTTAAAAGTACTCTTTTTTTAACCATTTAGATATTTGATTTTGCTGAATTCATTTTCTGCTGGATCAGCTCCTTGCTCTGACTGACTACGTATTGTGCTGGAACTAGGGAGGCCACAGGAATGCACAGCTGGGGGCAAGGAGAGGGTGTCTGGGCTGGGCTGCCTTGGGTTGGCTTAAACTGATGGTGGACGGGCAGGCAGATGATTCAGCATCCCTCCTTTCAGCTGCAGATAACTTGATTCCACTCTCTTTTTTTGTTCCTTGTAGGCAGTTGGTTTTTCCCGAGTTTTGAGTGTTGACCTTTCATCGGGCAGCAGCGGGGCAAAGGAGACTTGCCTTTGTCATGGACAGTGAGATTAAAAAACCTGTACGGATGGAACCATGGGCTGGAGAGCAGGTGTCTCTGTTGCCTGAAGTACTCACACCTGAATTGCTTGTAGCCCATGTTTAAAGAGTGACTACACTTCAGGTCAGTGTTGTGCTTTGGAATGACATCACTCTTTGAGAGAAAGGAAAGGAAAAGATAGTTTGGGAGGTTTGGATCCTGACTTGTTAATGCCTTGGGTAACGACTGTTGAAGCTGCTTATGTCATTGAAGAAACAGCAGAGGAAGAAAAGTAAACCTTGAAACCTCTTGATGTGACAAACTGCTTGAAAAAGTGATGTTCAAATCTACTTCCTTCTTGTTTTGTCTGTTTAAGTGATCTGACTTTGGCCAGGTTTAGGTGCACCCTGATTTATTGCAGGATATGCTCTTTAAAGGGGGGGCGATGCTGTAACTGTATCCTGTGCTTTCACAGGGATAGTTGCAAGAATTTAACATTTTCTAGCAGTATTTTCTATGACCCTATTGCGCCAAGTACAGCATTAAAGAAGTGCGTGATAGTTTGCAGTGGGGGTACTGCTTGCACGTCTTCTTAGAACAGCATAACAAAAACAGTCCAGGAGTGTGCAAAGAGAAGGGAAATCTGTTAAAGAATATTTTTTTTGAATGTGAGGTCCACGGCTCTTGTCTTCAGCTTGCTTTGGGGCACAACAAAGAGCAGCATTTATTCTGCTGCATACAATAAAGGATGATGCAGCTCAAAATGCAATGGCTGAGTCCTCAGATCCGAGCTTGAATTTCGGATACCTTTCAAACAGACAAGGTACAAATTGGATTGCCTTTCTCATGGGCAGCGTCTTTCTCTTCCCTCCTTTCTTGCCTGCTGCATAAACCCCATCCTGCTGCGTGTAGGATCAGTTCCACACAGGTTGCTGAAATATTGGCACCCACGTGTCATTGTCTTTTTCCTTCTCCTTCCTGGATCAATTAAGAAACCAGTTTTTCCTCTGGCTATTCTCTGCTTCTCTTGTCTGTCCTCCTCTTCTTGAGAAGGAAAATGAAATGCTTGTGATGAAGTAATCCCTGTTTGTTGGCACTTGCTGCTTCAGATTATTTCTATAAAAACAAACTCCCAATGTTTCTGAGGTTCTGCGCAAACCACATCACCAATTGAGTAACTTTTTGATCTTTCTGAGCTTTGCGTGTACGCTTTTATCTGATTTTTGTACCAACTCTTGCTGTTGATTTTGTTTGTGTGGAAGCCAGTATAGTTGGAAGCATGTATTTAGGAGATCAAAGGTCTGGTTTTAAAATATGAAATGGACAAAAATGTGCAGGTTTGTGCTTAATGAATTTGTATGTGCTGCTGTCATCATCATGTACCCGTAGTAGGCAGATGCCAGTGGCAGAATTTGGCCATTTGCATTCAATTTTACCAACTGGGCAGTAAAAAGTAGTGGGTTCTGCTCACAAACTCATTTAATGACTTTTTAGAAATCAGACACAAAGCATTTTTTCCTCTTTTCTGCTGAATCAGTTTCAAGCTCCTTGCCTTCCAACTTTGATGTCCTCTTTTTAACGTTAACCATGTTTTTCTTCCATTCTGTTTTGCATCTTCTCTCATTTTGCTTGAACTAAGTGCAAGTCCTAAATTATAGCAAACTTTTTTCTTCTTCCAAATATTTCCACTAAAATAGCATGTGTTTGAGGAATTTTTAACTGCTCCTCTGGGCCCTGTGCATGCAAAACACTTATATAACAAAAATAATAGTATTATTATTTGTATAAGAATGCATAATTAGCTTGCATATTTAATTATGCTATTTGGGATCATTCTTATCAAAAGTTTCTATTCATCTCTTCAGCATTACTACTGAGAACGTGTTCACCAACATGAAAGTAATCGCATTATGGGTAAGCCATTATATTAGCTCTAATCCAGGAATTTGAACAGATCTGG